TTTCCAATTTTACGGGTGCGCAAGGGTGTAGTGGAAATTCCAAAATCAATCCATTTTCACGCCATAATCGCTCACTTATTTCGTAATACTAGTGATAGTAATAATCGAGTTCCAGAACTTCAATATTTTGGGGATTTCGCAGTGTTTGGTGCAATTATGTGTCTTGCAATTCTTTCAAAATTCAATGCTCTCGTGAAATAATTCAGCAAAATTCTACAGAGGGGGTTGAAATAATGCAAAAAGTTGCTTTAATTTGCAAAAGGTTTGCCCTATAAGGTGGTTAGAGCGAGCGCCTTCAGAAACTCAAACTGAAAATTCTAAAAATTAGCGAAAGTTAATGGTAAAAATGATGGGCTCTAGTTTTCGGCGATTATCTCGGTGCTTATCGAAATAGTCACAACGAAAACATAGCCGTTAAAAAGAAGAAGAAATTCTGCATCGGATAGTGCTTACAGCGTTTGTCTATCTTTTAAGTGTTTTGAGCATGGGTCTGAAAAACTCGAACTTTCGGAGCGACCTAATATTTTTGAACAGCCAATTTTTCATTCTAAACAATCAAATTTTCAAATCGAGCTATCCAGAGAGTGGCAACATTTATTTCGAGATAGTTTTTTATATCTGAACTGGTAACCGCCAATTTGAAAAAAAAAACTGGGCGCTGCAATCATACTAAAGTTTTATACTGACTTGAATAAAGCGTACTTATTACTGAAGTTTGTAATCAGTGAACACATGTGCATAGTTATTTCCATATAGTTCAACTATGAAATGACTTCTTTTCCAATTTTTTCGTTCTCAATACTTCAATTTCTAATTCTCTGTTTTCTCTACTTGCTTATCTTACAATGAGGGCAGTTAATGGGTGGAGCAATGGGCGGTCCCTGACCTCTGAGATACGGAGGTGCTAGAACCCTCCTGGGTGCGATTGATGGTGCGAACTTGGTGCGAGGGAAGGTGCTAGGAACTCCTGCACGCCCTCCCTAGCAGCTAGGATTAGTGTATTGTTAGGTATCCGCTGTTAAAGCAACCAAGGGGCGTGGCTTAGTGTATATCCCTAATGGCTGGGTATCTAACGCCCACACCTCGGCTGGGTACCTAACGCCACGCACCCGGAAATCCCCTGCTTGTGTTCCCTCTTTTCGCATCAAAAACTGCACTGCCCACTACTGACTGCTATTTTCGAATAAACAATTCAGAAATGCTTTTTGGGCTTCACTGATTCTACCGAACTCTCCTCGAGTCATGTGTAACTTAATATGTGAGAATGCACAGTATGCGCGATTGCGACGGCATCCTTACTACAAACTTCTGAGTAAAACATAATTTAGCCTATCAAACTGTAGAGATATGTTCTACTGACTGACATACAGGGTGTCCGTAAAGTATGTATACACTGTTTGATCGTTAATATCTCTTTTCCCAACTAGTCTTTTGCCTTGCTTCAAGTATCATTTTGTAGAGCTGGCTTCAACTTAGATTTGCAGTGTAGAACGAATCACCCATCTCTCTTCTTTTCTGTAGGATTACGGTAGAGACTTGAAACATATGGTGTCACTGTGGAAAAAGCTGTCGTTTCAAAAATTTTCAAAAAAAATGTGAAAACTTGTGTAATAGGGTTTTTATCTATTCACAAGATTGCAAAGCTTTCTTAATGGTGTAACCGCACTTTCTAAGAACATTGAAAAAATGGCCGCTACCTCTTACTCGGCATAACTCTTCAATGAAGCATCATAATAAGTTGGAAACTTTAGAATTAGAATCAGCAAATCATCTAATTAGCTTAGTGTAAAAGTTATCAGGCTGTTTTGTTTCCTTTCTGAGGCAAAGTATGGCCTTTAATGGCTCAAAACCCTCTTTGAAGTTTCCACCGTAATCCTACAGTAATGAAGAGAAATGTGTGATTCACTCCATACTGTAAACCGAGTTGAAGCCAGTTCTACAGAATGGTACCTGAAGCAAGGCAAAAGACCTCTTGGGAAAAGAGATATAAACGATCAAACAGTGTATACATACTTTACGGACACCCTGTATATCCGACAAGTATAAAAGGGACAAGGAAATCAGAAGAAATGCAAATGAACAGTTCTAATTTCGCGGTTCTTCATTTAGCACACATGGTGTGCAATACGCATATTAAGTTACGAATGACTCGACGATATATGGAAAAAGAAAGTGTTGATATACTATAACAACATAACCAGAGACGTATAAGCATAGTAAAGTTTTATTGGTGAAAGAAGACGACTCAAAAAACCCGCTGCAATAATGAGGTTGCAAGGGCGAAATTTTATTTGACCTCTAGACTAAGGTAAGTATGTTTCCTCGATGCACCGGAAAGGTCAACACAACCTCTTATGAGAATTGGTTAAAGAAGTTTTATTGTGATAAAATTACGATGAGGACAGTCTCAGCTGTCACCCGAGCTTCTGAGACATATTGCCTGATTTCTTTTGCATATTGCTTAATTGCATTATATTTACAATTGCTGGAAACAAACATCCAATGAGAAACTGATGACATGCCGCTTTTATTCTCCTTCTGCTTTGTGAACATACAAGCTGCCTCATTTTTTTGCGATTTTATTTTCGCATACGCTCAAGGCGTTTCATGCACAAAAAATGTAGTGTTATTAATTCAGTAAGACTGTAACAAAATCACATGTAGCTTGAACACAGCCTACAGTCGAGATTGAATGCAATGATCCAGCCCGCTTGGATGAGGCATGCGTGAGTGCAGCACCCAAGAATAATTTATTTTATTTATGAAGGATGACCCATGCCTCGTTTGCCGGCAAAGGATCTCAAGAAGGAAAGGAAGTTTAGTCGAAGTGGCCTTTTAGTATGAGATGAAAACCGCCTTGAAAGTGTGAAGTGACTCCAAATCTACCTTCCTTATGCTGCGGGTTCCTAAGCGAGGAGTTACGAAGGTTTTTATTAGCAAAAATTTGCATCAGGTAAGACAAAATCAGTCTTCACAGTCAATCACATTGTTACCGCCCGAATGATTTTTGGGTTGCTCTGTGCAATGGACATTCTTTATTTAAACATATCCGCTTAACTCTGCTAATTCGGAACGCTAGGAAAAGTCAACTACTGATTTTACACTGATTGTGCATTGAATTTCTTTGCCCATTCAATTTTCAAAACTCCTTGCTCAGAAACCCGCAGCAGAGAGGGAAGATATATCTAAAATCAAGGTTTTGTACTCTTCAAGTCAGTATAATAGATGAATGGTAGCATGCATAATATAAAGTATGGCCTGCTTCGCCTCTACCCCTACACAGGTATCAATATAAATCTCGCAGAAAGGCCACTTTGACTAACCTTCCTTCCTTTGTTAGGAGTATTCAAACGAGCAAACCGGAGGGTCGGATCGGGTATATTGGCCAACTTTAGGGTTGAGCCAGACTTCGCTGGGAAAACGGCGTACGCGGTGTATGCAGCGTACGCTTGGTATATTTCATCATAGGAGCGTACGCGGCGTACGCTGCGCACGCCGCTTTCCCAGCGAAGTCTGGCTCAACCCTTAACCGTTCTGCCGGGAGAGAACAAAACTTCAAGTAAATGTTGCGGAGAGGTCATAATAACGAAGTAACTGTTGTGTATATCAAGTACCCTAAAATCCCATAGATAAGAGCGGTTTAATTTACCGGTGAAAAATGAATTGGAATGAAATTGAAATTGAACGCAGTCACCCCTCTAACTTGATGGATGGATAAATAAGAATCGGAGAAGAAGTTTAGAAGAAGCTCCGCCCCTCAACTCTAAACCCCGCCCACTTAATAAACAATTCATATGAAAATTCCGAAATTCCGTTAAAATCGCTATTTTTCTATATGTATTGTTTATTAAGTGGGCGGGGTTTAGAGTTGAAGGGCGGAGCTTCTTCTAAACTTCTTCTCCGATTTTTATTTATCCATCCATCAAGTTAGAGGGGTGACTGCATTCAATTTCAATTTCATTCCAATTCATTTTTCACCGGTAAATCAAACCGCTCTTATCTATGGGATTAGGGTAAATTTTGTATCCAGAGAGGTGGTATCCATGCCCTTCGTTGCCAGCAAAACGATCTTGAGAGTATTCAAACAAGCATTCCGGAGATCAGAAGGCGAGTATATTGACCAACATTAACCGGTCTGCAGGGGAGATCAAAATTCCAAGGAAGTCGCAAAGCCTACGAATAAGCTAAATCGGCAAGCTATATGAAACAGACTAAGGAGGGTTGTAGGGCAGTTTTGAAGCGACATGATGATAAGTGGACTAGTAAGAAGAAAAACAGCAAGTGTTTGAAGTAACGCAAATTTCAGAAGTCACCATTCGGTGATGTTCAATAACCAGTCAAAGTAGCACGTGACAACTAAAATATGATTTGAATAAAAGAGAAGGTGCCAAGCAGCCCGCTACGTAGTTAGGATAGTAATGATGTGTCACTTGTACTGGTCTTGAAAAGACTTTATTTCATCTTCTTTTTCTAAGCTCTCGTTTGAAAAAAGTGCTATCAGTCCTCCCATGGCTCATCGTAGTGTACGTATTTGCTACAGACGTTGTTTCCTTGTCCCGCTTGCGAATCTGACAGAATTATGCATTCTTACGTACTGCAGTCCATGCAGTCTGTACAGGAGAAGATCAATGGCATTATAAGTTCTCTACTTTCCGCCTTAATACGGCACACAAGCAAATGCGAAACCACACTCAAGAGGGGCGCTGCAATTGTGACAGAATGTGCGCCCCATACTACCAGGCTCATGTCTCATGGTATTATACAATGCGATTCCGCGGGGAACACGCGGAAGGCGACAAATGCCCTGGAACAGGCACGACTAGTGGCCACGCCCTTCCGAGTTCTCGTCAACTCTCGTCCTTCCAATCTTTGTACTGGAGCGCGTATGCACGCTTTCTATGTACATGTTTCGGTTCTTGTGTGATTCATTTTGTCTCTGTTCTTGTCTATCCTTTACGGTTCTATATTTTTCACCTTTTGTGTAAACACATTTGCTTATACGGGTATGAGATGTATTATTGATGCGGAAGTTCCTTCATGTAGTTGCACATATAAGCGAGCAAGAGGAGTCGTCACCTACTCATCAGAGGTATGACCTTTCTTGTGTTCTGTGCTTTTCTACTTTTCCATTTCATCATTTTCTTATATAGATATCACCTTATGAATGTCCTCCCCCTATCCATGGCTAGCCTTTTTGTTATCATCATCATCGCGACTTAATCATTCCATTTTAGTTGAGATATTCGCAGAAAGATCGCTTTCAACTTCGTGCGCCATAGCTATGGACTTATGAGGTAAGAGCTCTCACTCACTCCTTCTGCTTGAACTTCGCCGATCGTTTCTTTTGAAGGATGGATCTCACGCCTAAGTGCATTCGAATACAGGCGAGCTCAAGGGCTATTGACGTGAGCATTCTGTAAACTCTGCTACTTACACTCGGGTTATCAAAACCAAATTCTGCTTAAGTTTAACTTTTGTGTATTCATATGTTTTTTTATTTTAGCTATCCTAACGGTCCTAGGTTCTTGTCTTTTCTTGAAGAAATGATTAGACTTAACGTGACTTCATTCACTTGTAAGCAGTATTTCCGTATACATAATGGTCCCTGATATAGGCCGTCCGCGCAGGGCGCGGAGAGTGCGCAAGGTGTGTATTGCGCGTCACTCCTCTTTCGCCGTGCACTCTCGCCGCCTGTTTTTCTCTGCGCTCAACTATCTTCATTGGACGCAACAGCGTTGCTCTCCGCGCGCAGCGCGGACGTCCTATACCGTTGTCGATAATGACTATGTGGAACAAATAGACTTACAAAAGAACTTCGGAAATTTTGTACAGGGATTTCTTGTTTTTGAAGTGAAGTTGTACTCTACATTGCTGAGTGATATTATCATTTCCTCTTCTTGTCCTATATCTGGTACGATTTTGTTGCGAATAAAGTGGTTTTTCTTTCTGCCCTGTCAAACGAAGAATAGTGAGCAGAAAAAATAAGATGAACTTAAGTGTTGGCAAAGGCTAAATTCTGAAAGACATCGCGGCTATATTGAGTTCGAGGTCCGGCTGGATACAAATTGATGTTGACATTTTGCCTGAAAATGAGGATTCTTCTTACTTTGAGACTCGAAAGGAAAACTGCTTTGCAGCATTTATTGTGTTTCATTGTTTCATTGTGATTCATCTCTATCCGAATGATAGCTACATAACTGCATAGAACTGATGCAATTCCGTTATTCTTATTCAATGCAAAAGCTGATCGAAATATCATCGGCTCCCAGATTCGTAGAGGTGTGGAGGCAAAGTCTTGCCAACTCACAGCGGGGCGGTTTTTGCTAGCGAGAGAGTACGAAAAGCAATGCTATGACATGGAGGTTCAACAAGTTTATCCTTGTTATCAGGCAAAGTCTGCAACACACCTCCACACGAATCTGGAAACTGATTATATGCGTGAGTTAGATGATGACCGAAATCTAATTTCGCTGCCACATCCCACACTCAATCAGTTAGCTATCAGCAAACAATCTACGAGTCTACAACTTGCGTTACGTCACCTTTTCTTATATACTGAGTGATCACGCCTACCAATCTTACACAACGAACTCTTATGGACAAAACAGAGTAGTCGAAGAGGGCACCGCTACCATTCAGGTGCCAGCCTATGCGCCACAAGAGCGTCAATCTGACTAATTGACTCGAGGCCAGCACTAAACAGCAGGCAAAATGGGAGGCGTGGCCACCGTTCCCTCGCCTCTGCTGGATTTTGTCGCCTTCCGCACCACACCCCGATTCCGCATCAGGGGGAGGGGGAGAGGTTGAGTGGTAATGCGCCCCAACACAAGGTAAAGGAAAGGAAGGAAAAAGGTTCAAATTTCCGAAGAATTCATCTCGGTCGTTGTTGCCTCCCCCCTTTTTTCAAGGACGCCCTTTTCCGTCCTCGCAGCTGAAGGAAAATGATTCACTCAATACTGTAAATCTAAGTTGAAGCCTGCTCTATGATTGGTACTAGCTAAGCAAGCAACTTTAAAAGGAGTTATTAACGATCAATTGTCTACGCACACTTCTGGGACAACCCCTATACCGCAGGATTGAGAGAGGACAATACAGCATGACTATGACGAAACTAGCCACTGGAACTGTGACGACCTGTGCATTCGTGCACTCCTTCTTCCCGTACTCACAAAATGTGAGGGACTCGAAAATTTAAACAGTGAATTTTTTTATTTAGGGAACTCAGAAGTTCGAAAAATCGTAAACGTGACTATTTCTCACGACATGCTAGCACACCAAAGTGAGTCGATGGTTCTAGGCTTTCTAGTAGCCTTAGGCGAAATAGCGTCTGGTAGAGTGTGTTATGTAGAACACATTAGCTAATAAACTTTATGAACAAGCGACCTGCACTCGTGGGTGCTGTGGTAGAATGCTAACATAAATAGGCGTTCCAAAGTTACTCGACAACATCTGGGCAATAAAGATACCTATATCACAGCAGGCCATGCTTATGCATGACCTTAACGGTACTCTGGCAGCACACAATGAGGCTACAAAGAGAGGTGCCGATTATATCGGCACACAAAGTACGCTGCTACATCAAGAAGTTGCGGGGCTAAAGAAGAAGTATGTTTGAACCTCGGAGCAAGGAGTCGATTTGTGATCAACAATTTTTCAAAAGCAAATCTCCGCAAGGCTTATTCGCTTTTTTACTGGATCGAATGCGTAGGCTTGGGTCGGTGACATGCACGTCATTTGACTTGTTTATAGAAATGCTACACCGGCGCTGCGAGACTGTTGCGCTGCAATTCTGATTGAGACTGCATACAACACGTTTTCTCATGTATATCCTTTAATGAATATCCCAAGTATTCCAGTCTAATAATAGATGCACAAGTAAGGATGCGATGCTTTCTTATCGCGGTTCTTCTCTGCAGCGGAGGAGCTTGTGGGCAGGATGGAGAAAGAGTTCTGGCAAGGTCATAATTTTGGAAGATTTTCAGTTTCTGTAATGAAGCACACTGCACATACGAGCATAAAAATCATTATGTAAGGGTTTTCAAACAATAATCTCTTCTTCAGTAAATCTCTAGAAAAATTTAGCCTGCTCTTATTTAGCTGCGATTTTTCGCAGAGAAGCAGTTCAAAGCTTCTACTTTCATATATCAGCTCCCTACAAAATTTCAGTTCGCGGACAGTTTGTCCCAAAATGGCTATATTGCTCGGATCTTCAAATTTGTAACAATAAGTTTTGTTTCCACGCTGTGGTGGATGCACTGATGAGTAATTCGGTGACTGGATCCGCGCAAGTTTTCAAGCTAACAGTAAGAGCAGTAAAATCTGTGATTTGCTTCTTTGAAACTCTTCAATTTGAAATGCAAAACTAGTCCTTGTATGATACTTGCCCTTCTTTGTATGTTCGGGAAACTTTGCAAGCATAAACTTCGGGGAAATTATGAGTTCTTGGCTGAATCGATTTGCCGATTTTTTGGCGGTTTACGCTCTAAAGGCCACAAAATGGGAGAGGGAGTAAGTGAGCATGCTGTCCAACTTTCTCTGGATTTATCGAATTTCTGTATTTGTTCAATGAGCTGCAAACACAGTGCAGGATAACCTTGGCGTGCTATCATGCAGCAAATATTCTCAAGAAACAAAATTCCTTAGCTCATTGACTAACCTGAACATGAAAATCAGACTTTCAAAATTTTGATATTGGTAGATTTTTTGCGCGACCAGCAAAGTGGCTGTTCATGTTTGCGCCCTAGGTGAACACCGAAGTTACTTCTTTGCGTCTTTTCTTCAACAGAAAAATTTCTACTCAAACAATGTGTACGTTGAGTCTTTGAGATACCTACTCAAACAATGTGTACGTTGAGTCTTTGAGATACTTCTTTCAAAGATACTAAATACTGGAGAAAAAATTTTCTGCAACATTTATACATGCCTCCGAAGCAGGGTCAAGCGTGTTGATGCGATCCTGGACCCTCACTTACGACCCCCCCCCCTTGAAGATACCCATCCGTACGACCCCCCCCCCCCCCCTCCCCCCTCTCCCTCCCCTCCCCATCTATCCCTTTACCTCCCCTGCCCACATTTCTCGCGGTAACCTGCATAAACGAATGTCAATCTCAAAAAACACCTGCGTGAGAACTGCACTGAGGTTCCGGAAGCAGAATTTCTAGGCCAATGGGTGCGCCAGCATTTCTAGCACATATATACACAATGTTTGAGATTCTGCAGGTTTACTTTTGAATTTTCAGGCATACTTCAGGCCAGCAAATTCGATTCCCGTATGCGACACAATTTTTTTACACGGAGAACAAAATGACATTCTTGAACTACAAAAGATGTTTTCGACTAAGAAGCTCAGTTCTTGCCTTTTCCACAGTTTTTCCTGCGAAAAAACCGCTTTAGCGCCGTCCAGAACGACGTCAAAAACATGCATGAGCACGGTAGTTTGAAAATTCGTAACTAAGGCCAGGAAAAGACTGAGAGGCTGCAAAGAACAGGTTCTGTAGCATAGTGCCCAGTCTATTCATAGAAAAAGTTTCAGCCCTTGAGGAGCAGTGAGCTCGAAAAAATTTAGATCAGGCTCTCGCAAATTTAGATGCGATCCTAAAAAGCAAAAACTGGGATTTTTGAGCTTAAAATTTTGTAACTTACTAGAGAAGTTATAAAAAAGCCTGAAATTCTTACGATAAAAACTAGAGGGATGGCCTCGCATTACAGCAAGTTTGCAGCTAACAAGCTTCAATAGCTCCGGAGAAATTTAGATCAGGCGCAGATACGACCCCCTTTTCTCATTTTTTGCTACCATACATAAAATCATAGGAAAATCCGCAGTTTATAAAATAACACCAGATTTCGCACGCAGTAGCAGGGCTTATCTAAAGTACATATAAATTGTAAAGGCCGCATAGATGACATTACAAAAAGATTTACGAATTATTGATTGTCATCGTTGATCTACGTGTGCGCTTTTGTCGAGTGTGCGAGTCTTCAGTGAGCCTTCGGAAGCAAGATGTCTACACCAATCGGTATATCCAACATCCTTATCACACATACATGCCTTTAGTAGCATTTGAGCTTCTGAAAGTGTTTATTTTTTGGATTTCAGTCATCCAGCAGGTTCGATCCCCGTTTGAGACGATATTTTGCGGGAGATATAGCGATTCCCATAAAAAAAGAACTAAGTCATAATCTTTCAAAAGTGCAGCAAATGAAGCGAATTTCTACGCTTGCAAATGTTTTCAAATTATTGTTCACTCGTTTTTATTTGTTACATTGGTACACGGCATTCCATGAATTTATTGTTAAGAACATGTAATAATTGCTTGCTATTTGATTTGATTCAATCGTACGGTTTTTTATCCAAACTACCCCCTCTTACGATCCACCCCCCTCACCGTAGGCCCCCTTTACGACCCCCCGTTGCGACAGTCGCATCACACGCTTGACCCTGCTCCGAAGCAACCGAAATCGTTTATTAGCTAACCTAAGATCATCTAGAACATTTCTGTTGATTTGTGTGTGGTTTTTCGATATAATTTGTTTCATGTGTCGTTCCCTTGATCAAATACGTTGTGCAGACGGGATGATGTGCATTCCAAAAAGGTAAGATAGACTTTTCTCACAAACATTTTTGTGCCTTGCCCATACTTTATGCGATTTCAGTCGCGACGTGATCTTGCAATACTAGCTGTCCATGACTCATCGTGCGCGCATTATAAAGCAGAGGATGGGACATTTTATCAATCTAACGAAAGTTGTACAAGCTATGCGTTTGCAGTCTGCCAGCGTTGGATTTGGAGATATCTGAATTGTCACTTCGCGTGGCGATTGAAATCGCGTGAAGTTGACTAGGCCCAAATGCAATCTCCCACACTGTGCTCTTAAATCCACGTGTATTTCATCAGTTCTCCCTTCTAATGGATACATAGGTTTATGTGCGATGGAGTTAGGGACTGCTCGGACCATTCCGACGAGGACTCCAATTTGTGCAGACAGCCAACCAAATCGGCCGTCTCGGTCAGTCATCTTTTTACTTCCAGTTCACAAAATGAATATTACAGACAAGGTTTCGTTACGGAATCAAAGGTAGAAAATGTCCTTCGACTTGGTTCTTCTGTGCAGATGGTTCAAATTGCATCATCTCTCGTTATGTCTGTGATGACCATAAAGACTGCCGGTACGTCAGCTAATTTTAATTATTGCAGTTGACTTGCTTTCATCCACTTTTTCAGAGATGGGTCTGATGAGGCTGAATTCTGTCATGGGTTGAACGAAAAGAAGAGAAAGGCTAGCGATAAAATTGTCTATTGAAACTTCACGGCAAATGACTTTGATTTAATTTATGATTAGATTGACTAATATAAATTTTACCTGTATTTAACGTTTTCTAAAAATGTTGGAAGCGATTCTTTGTAGGTATTTATGGTATCATTGAAAGGAACCATTCAGAGCAAATCACACAATAAATTGTTTGAGGAGAATTTTTCTTGATGAAGAAATGTGCAGAAATGTAATTTAATCAAACTTTATAATCGAATTTTCGGAAAAATCATGCTTTGAAGATCCAACTAAGGGTGAATGTATTTGAAATTCGTAGGCATATTTGTGATTATTTGCAACCATTCCATTCCATCCTACAGTATGAATACCTAACATGGAAAGTCAAGATATCGTTTCTCAATGAGATGACTATATAAAAACGTAAATTCCTTTTTTACTGTAAGAAAATATTACAAATTGATATATCTTAGTAGAGGTTCAGAACTGTCTTCCTGCACAACATAGAACTTCTATTTGTAAACTAAACGAGATTGTTGATAAGCCAACCTAAGTAATACGTAAAGTAGTTTCTTTTGCGTTCGTAACACTTTTTACAACGGTAAAATCCACAAATGAAGTAACAAAATTGCAAATTGTTGAAAAGGCTGGCTCAAAATTAGTAGCTTTTTTCTTTTCTTTCACGGGAAAAATGCGTTTGCGCATATCAGCAAGGTTTTGAAACGTCGCCTTAGTACTCGATTACAGTCAAGGCATAGGTAAAGATAGGTGTTTTTATTTCCTTTATTTACACAGTTGTTTCATCTTTTGTCTTATCCTGCATAAACAGATTAAGGCGAATTTCCGCATCTCTAGCATAGGAATCCGCGCTATCTCGCATTGTCTCATTTTCGAACACAGTCGATGCACCTATCGAGCGATCCACCTGAAGTGATCAGAGGTTATCGAATCTTCAGTAAACTAGGAAAACAAAGAAAGAACCTCGTCTGGCATGGTGGTGAGCAGCTTCCTATGGACGAGTTGTTTCAGTGGAGTATGTGGTTTTCGAGGAGATGGACTAGTCACTGAGGATGACTCAAGGCTCATCGAATCTGGCCGTTCGAACACTTCCGAGGCACCGGTAGTGGATTGTGGACGAAATGTGAGATTAGTTATTGACCTGTAACAGTGTATCAACAGCGGTCCGGGAAAATTTTATTGTATAGGGGGGGGGGATCAATTCTTTCGTTAGCCACGCCTTTCGGAATATATGACGCACTTTGAAATTTTTTCTGGCAAGAAGCCTGAGACGTATGAAAGGGACATAACGACTCATGCCCTAACAATTTTTTACAAAGCTCATATTTTTAAAGAATTTCCAAAATATTCTGCTTATCTGCCAGTGAAAGGAAGTATAATTTCAAAGCTATGATCTTTTCTATTTAATTGGTTCAATTAGAGTAATAATGAAGAAAAATCCGGAAGATTACTGATGTGATCTACATGACTTCAAAAGACAAAGCTAAGATAGTTCAAAAGCTTGAGAAAACTGATGTTAGATGTTTCAAACCTTTGTCTTTGATGATTTCCAAAAGTATTAATGGCTATGCCTGCTTTTGACAGAGGTATACTATCGTAGGATTCGTTCTGTCGCGATGCTACTGATAATGAAGGTGGTGACAATCTTGTGACAGCAGGATTATCTGGAACCGTATTTCAAGACTGAACACTCATTCCAAGGTCGACCTACCAATAGAAGTAGAGGGACGTCCAGCCAGCTTTTCAAGTCTGTTTACATTTGGTTTTTCCACGGTAATGTACTTCAATGGCGATGGAGCAGATGAAGAATGCACTTCAGTACTGCTCTTTCCCAGATCAAGTTCCACGTACTTAGTTTTGACAATAGAGTTTTCTGACGTGTTCTGACTGCTGAAGGTGGTTCCAACATCGCAGTAGCCAGGTCTTGGAGTGAGCTCAACGCCAAAGTCTCGTATGGATAGTGGAGGCTTGGAGTCGAGACGAGGAGTGGCAGGGAAACTTGTTGTCTTAGTCTCGCTCTAAATGAGAGAGGTTCTTTTGAATAGTACTCGCTGTAAGGAAACAACACTTTCGAAAGCAGCGTCCATCAAAATCAGATCATTGAGATTTTGATGCAGTACAATAGCAAAACCCTTAACTTAGTAACTGCCCAAGTCTCACTGCAAATGTGCATTCCGAAGAGAGGAAATCGTTTCAGGAAGTGGTTGCTGCTGTGGTCACCACGCCCATCAAGTGGTATAGGTAGAAAGCCAAAAGAAGAACCAATATCATTTAGAAATGTTGCTCCTTCTTTCATTGTAAGAAACACAATTTCGTAATCTGAAGTCCAGTTTCAGGCCCATTATTTACAGATCTTCACGATGATGGGCGTGCAACCCAAACAGCATCCCTTGTGGAGATTTTCTCGCTGCGAAATACATCTTCTGTGGCAAAACATGGGCGATTACTTAACTAGCCCCTCCCTATCTGACTGCATCAAACACTGACCTCAGATTTGGATGGACGGCACTTACCCTTTGATTCACCTGGCTTAGCTGCTGGAAGGCGGGGCTTCGTGACCTATTTAAGACTAGAGAATGATGAGAGAGCAGGAAAATCAGTGAGACGCAGACTGCGTCGCGGGCGCGAGCGGCCCTAGTCAGGTCACAAAGCCCCGCCTTCCAGCCGCAAATCCAGTTGAATCAAAGGTCAATTGTTAGGTGCATTTACCTTCTTATCGCTGAGGTCGCTTCTCCCAGAGATCTCCTTCGCCATTCCCGCATCACCCATCACACGTTTCGAAGTTGTTGGGAACGCTGGATGAGCTGGACTCTTACGGAGATCTACCGAAGATGAAGGTTTGGCTACGTCATCTATCAGGGTAGTTTTCGCCTTTGGCTGGCCAGTAGGTACAGACTGTGAGGATCCATGTAAAGGTTCTGATGCTGGTAGAGCTATAACATCTTCATTAATTATACTAACAAAGTTATTCATTAGAGAAATATACCTCGCTTGCTAGAGTCGACATTCAATGCAAGATTAGACCGGCGGACACTGTCCGGCTCGAGATATGCTTGTTGTCCAATCTGCTCGTAGATCGGGTCGTATGTTCTTTGGGAAGGAGGTTTCTTGCTAGAATTAGTGTGATAAAATGCCTTCATATTTTCCAGGAACGGAATCCTATTACCTAGTTCCTGAAAAGCTCGAAACGCCGACTGAAACGTCATCACAGGCCAAGTACTCATAAGTAATATCGCTGTCGTCAAAATTAATGCTTTTTCTTGATTGCTGTGGCGTTTTCAGCGCTGACTTCAGCTTGGGATTAGGCTGAGGGGAAGAAATAGTCGGAGGCGGAGGTTGAGCAGGCACAGTTCGTGTTTGATTTCTTTCCAGGGTATTTACAGAGCCTAAACAAGTACTAGTACTACAGATCCAGAAATATCAACTATGGCTACCTGTATGCGTGGATTCAGTCATATTACTGGTAGATGAGAACAGATCGCGCCCCGGTCGAGCAGTAAATTTTTTCTGAGCTGCAGCTTTCTGTTTCTTCGAGTAGTTCGGCATCGAAATCGTTCTTTTGAACGTGCGCTGAAAACGTTATAAAATGCTCGAAAGACTCTGCAAATCAAGCTAACCTCATCTGGTGGCCGTTGTTGGCGCTCTTGCGCATTTCTAATGTAATCTCGTTCCCACTGTCGAAGAGATTGCGAATCAACGCGATAAATAGCCTGGAATGAAGAATCTAAGGCAGCTTCCACCAAAAATTATACTTCACGTTTTTGTCATTCTGGGGCCTCTCCATGGCCTAACTACGGCTATGATGTGCAAAATGTGCACCCCCCCCCACAAAAAAATCTGGGAACTCTGTTTTGAAGGTATGGGCGACTTTCAAGCTTTGGATGCGGAGCTTGGTAGGATGGGCGTGGTTCGGTAGCACTTATACAGGTAGGTCCATTTTCAACCTCCAGGGGTCAGATTGGAGGGCGGACCAACGCAGGTGATCCTTTTCTGGTGCCTGCTCTCGGAGTAGGTAGTGCTTTTGGTAGCACAGACTTCGCCTAGACGCTGCCTGGCATGTTTTTGTGTTTGGTAGGTTCTGATTGTGTCAACGCTAATGCATCGTTTGAAGTAAACTGAGCAGTAGATGAAATTTAAAAAATCTAAAGAATACGATTTAGGGTTGTAGTCATTGAAGGGCAACAGGGAGGCGTTCAAAAGAACAACGCTATTTGAATGTGGCTTACAAAATTATGTGGGAATTTCCCTAAATGTTTTTAGGGGAAGAATGAGGACAATTGCTTGGAAAATTGCTTTCCGAAGTATGTATAGCCCAAATCTGGGTAGACTTCTGAGAGAACTACCAAAACACAAGAAGGGCTTGAGTCTTACTCAAGGAAACTTCCACAAGAGTTCAATACTCCCGCACAGTTTTTTCAAAAAATGAAAATTTTCCATCTGGTCTTCTCTTCGTCTCATTTTTGAAAGCGCCGAATTTAAGAGCAATACAGAACTACATAAGCCCATCTTTTTCACAATCGTAGCCCCCCCCCCTTCCAAAGCAGAAAAAGATTTCTGGATCTGTTCACGGTAAGAGACTTTTAATGTGTTTCGAGAAAGTGACTCTCTCTAGAAATGACTGGTTGGAGAATAGAATATCTGAGAGATATTTCTTGATTGCGCATTTGTCAGTAGATCAGGAGGTTTTTTGCTATTCTCCAAGTTATTTGATGGATTTTGATAGTATTCAATAAAAAGTAAGTGAAGAGACTTATGTAAGTAAAGAGATTCGCAATAGTCATAAACTTACAGAAAACGATCTTTTAAACGGTTGCGATGAGTTCCTACTAGATAGCGGCTGTGACTCGTCGCCTCCTTCAACGACCTGGTAGTAAACAGTGAAAAACACGCATAAGACCCCAAGTATGAATATACCTTACCTCTATTTTTACTAACTTGGCTCTTGATTTGCTAAAGGATACTGAGGTGACGCAGCAACCGAGCATTGATGCTAGCCAAGTCACAAGTGCGGATATTACTTGGCAATAGAAAGCCCATCCCAGGATTTGCTAAAGCAGAAAAATCAATCATAAATGGTAAAAAAAAGATGACAGAATGCTCGAGCACCTCATATATTGTATCTTCCTCTTCCTTGATAACCTTGTTGTCCTGATAATTTGCCCATGCATAGAATACTGATACTCCAATGGTAGATAATATGGCTGTAAAGTTTTCAAGGTAAGAATAGTGCAGACTATTTTAATAAAGCGAGTTTACCAGCCACAGAGACGAGAACAGTTGAGGCACAAATGAAAGTCCTATGGCAGAAAGCACAAACGGCAAGGAGCAATGCAGATGCTGTGAAAATTACCGCAGACCCGCATCCGGAAAGTGCTGCGATTTTCCAACCTAAAAATCAGATTTGTTGTAGGATGGCACATCTTACGGTAGATATGGTGCTGCTGTCGTTCTGATGATTGCCGACAACATTTGCGCGTTAACAAATTGCCAAAAGGCGCAAAATTTGAAAAAGTGCGCTCAGCGGTCGTTTTGCGCGCGCAACTTGCGGGCACTATAGGCGCGGCAATTATTTCACGCCTAAATGCTGCCAAAAGTACCGCCACTGCGGGAACACTCTATGTCAATCTATTAGCCTATATTATGAAGTCATTCACAGGGAATATTTTTTGGGAAAATGAAAGAGACCGAACGTAGAATCGAACTTACCCAAAAATAAATGCTGATATGCATCGTTCTGTATCCTGTTCTCGTCATGATTATGGTCATAGAGATCCTCTGGATCAATATAGTAATCGAATTTATATACACATTGTAATGGTGGTAAGAAGAATATATCGAATGGAGATCCTTGTAAGTCCCGTCTAAATAAAATTAATAACAGTTGAAAATAAATCCAAAATTCCATAGTTAAATTGTTCAAAATGTAGTGTAAGAGAGATTATCAACTGACCTATAAAGCGTTTCATAATACTCCCTCGTTCGTCCATAGTCGAAAGAGTAATCCCTCTTGCAATCTAACCATAATCCATGATGATGCTCGGTCCTTCCATTCTATAATATCAAATGGGGCTTGGACTAATGGAAAGAAGAACAGCACAGATAAAAAGTATTTTTCAAACAACACCCATTGGAAATCATTTAGTGGTTCAAACTCCAAGAAATGTTTTGAAAATCTGCACCAGTTACGTCCTAGACTTTACGACTAGTACTTTTGCTCTTTTATTCTACAATTCTTGATAGCGGGTTAATATAAGATAGGAGACAAAGTAATTTTTTGCATCATGAACGACCACTGACTTGTTTAATGCAATAACTTTTTTCACTAACAGCTTTCTTCAATAAGCCGGTACGATCTTCAAAATTTATGAAAATTCGAGAAAATTCTCCAATGAAATATTGAGATAGAGTAATAAAAAAAGAATGATTGCCAACCTCCAGATAAACGTACTGCCATGAGGGGCTAATCACCGAGATCAATGAAAGCGTAAATGCCGTGAAAGTGACAGCGAAGAAAGTGGATAACGCAGTTTTACGACCACATTTGGAAACATCGCCATCTGCCATTTAGCCGACTGACATCTGAAATAGAAAATTTAAGTTCAAATGATTCAGAATTCAAGCAAAGCAAAAAGACTGCCGTGATATGATGTAGTTTGGAGATTTTGCGAGTATGACAGAGGACTGCTAGGAAAAAAATGAGTAAGTGATTGAAAAGAGATTCTTATATGTCGATTCTGTCGATGAGATGGGTTAATGGTTGCGCTTTTATGCTTGACCTATTGTTTTGCTTCAACTGATTCAAGCTGTTCAGAAAAAGGAAACTGAAGGATTTATCGCCTTCATGCCTCTTGTTGGAAATTTTCAAGCGTTTTTTTACCGGCTCGAATTGAGTAAAACACAAAGTTATCCCTTGTAGATGCTTTTATAAGAAATGTTCAGAATTTGATACATGGCTTACGCTCGGCAAAAGAATAATAAATTTTTTGAGTTGTAATAAAAAATCCATTATGCATCAAATTTCTCTAGGAAGAGACGCTCAAAAGACACAATGTTGAGCACACGAAACCATAGCAGTTAACCTTTCAGCATGATTAAATCTACAGAAACGCTTTCATGTTGAATTTCAAGTAATACAGATGAGTGTTCAATTTTTTTAAAAGGTAATAAATCCAACATTTCACAATTTCATAGTTATTGTTACAGATAATAAGTAAACAGGAACTGAAATGAACATTCTAAGCGTCTCTGCCTACAATTTTGGTAAATCCAGCTCCAAACACTTTTTCTGCGGTTTGCTAGTGGCAGATGGTAGCCTAATTTTGACCAGTGACTCATCGCCTAATCGAACCAGATTTCTATACGCTGCAGTGATTGCTCGTAAATCGGTTTGCAAAACGGGTATCGATTTGCATTAGAGGCAATAAATACGGTACGGTCAGGTGCAATTCGTATATAGTGGTCAGAGAGATATAGTTTCAGTGGTTGAGAATTTTTGGCTAAGCTAGAGAAGCGGAAGAGGAGGGGAGGGGGATTCACAGTTATGGAACAGGCCGATTTATAAGGGGACTATTAGTTTACCGAGCGTTGAGCCTATCAATGAAAAATAAACAAAAAATAGAAGTTGGTAACATGAGCTCATTTTGTTGGAGTATGATGCCTGTTACAAAATCAAAATATTGTCATCATCGAATAGAATATAATAATCAAAATATCATAGCGAAAACAAAAAATGTAGGACCAAAACTCAGTATGTTCACGTCAAAGGGCATGCACACGAAAAGTTAAGTTAGAAGTAATTTCCTGCAGTTGCAGAAAAGAAAAAAAAAGAAAATGATTTTGCGGTACCGTAATATTTTCTGAAGCCAATCGCAGAAAGTCAAGACGGAAAGCGTCTTCGCACTATTATTTACACAACGCCTCGTACCGTGATCGCGTCGCAGTGAACGCATTTTGAAAAACTGGGAGTGGCTCTGAGGCATTTCAAGGTCGTCGCCGCGATTCGCGAATCGATGATCGCAGCGCGACGGCGATTCACGTTCGATCTGCAGTTCATCGGCTCCGACTTTATCCATTGCTACTGCGGAAACTCTCAGATCGTCGCCGACGTTCGCGGATGTCTGAACAGGTCAGCAAATTCTAGTCACTTGGCAACAGCAGGGCCGTACGTGCGATTCAAAGATGTGGTGGAAGGGGAGGGGTCTCGACAAGGAAAGTTTCGTGGTCATCGCTGGTTGGAAATAGGTCAAGCGAGTGACTCTACTTTGTTTGAATGACTCTTTGAGAGTCACAGCAGAAATACTTCAGTGTGTAGGAGCTAGAAAAGGTCGAAATACGCTCCTTCCGTCAGTCAATAACGTGCGTGTTGACGAAAAAGAGGCTTGCTAATATACGCGAGATAAAATAAGGTGTTTAAGTGCTTTAGAATCATAGTAGGTGATTGCACACTTCGCACTCACCCCGGGCTCCTTTTTAGACAATTTTTTAGGAATCGTTCAAATGGGACAAAATATTTAAATGAAAGATGATCATTACAGCCTGTTTCTGGGTATTTGATTCAAGAAAAAACTCCCCTCTGAAAAGACAGCCAGCGAGTTCGTGGGATGATGAGCGTGATGTGCAATGCGCATAGTTAAAGATTAAGTGTACTCAACAAAGTGTGATAGAATTGAAGTGTATTGGCTTTGTAGTAATGCAGAGGCTAAAAGCCTTATATTAACAATAGCATTCCGATAAACAGAGAAGAGAAAAAATCTTTAAGCTATTTGTAGCCTAGGCCATACTTCTGTTAGTCTTGGAAGCACATGGTGCAACTGCACACCTTTTCAAATGCCTGCATAATAGGCGATTTTATGTTTTTTCTTTACTTGCATTATGAGTAAGCTCGCTCTTTTTTTCCATTGAAAATTACGAAAAGTAGAAAGTCAAAGGTCTAAGCTTTTGGAAACTAAGTTATGTGGGGGCATAGCTGTCCTTCACTGATCCCAAGAAATTCTAAATAGTTGATATGTGGTAGTAAAAGCTTCGAACTACTTCAATGCAGAAAGTAATGTGTGAAGAACAGCAAAAACCAGAATTCATGAAGATATGCATACCGAAATGAACTTATTTTTTTCTAACCAACCCATTTATGTGCGATTTCGCTTGACTTTTGAAAATAAGAGTTGAATTTGACACAAATCTACATCTGACGAAGCTACATACTCTCATACTATAATACATACTGTATGACTATCGTGGTAAAAAGAATGACGGGCGACAATGAGCACGGAAAAAGCGATCGAATGTGATACGCCTTGAGCTAGGACGAAAAAATTGTGTAATTGCACCAGTTGACTCGCAAATTGATAGCGACAACAAAGTGGTGCACCTTCTTAGCGTCTTACACCAGGAAGCAATACGAACCAAAGTCTGATTGATAAATCTATAGGCAAGTCAACTGTAACATTAATATGTGAATTTGCACACTGCGTGGAAACCCACGGCTTCTTAGTCGCTCCTAAAGCTTTTTTGCTAAACAAATAGTTGGAAGTGTTCTACTAGCTATTATACATACAAAACAGCTGAAGGAAAAAGAAGAGAAGGGAAAATCTCTGGCAATTGAAACTTTGGAGCCGTAAAGTAATATATTAACTTGTAATTCACTCGATTATACTCTTGTTCAATACAAATAATACCACTAATAGGATGCATATATCACCGATTCATTTGTAACGTAGTATGTTTTGGCACACCATGCGCGCTACTTGACGACATGTAATATTAGAACCTACTCCCGATTTTTCAACTTGTCTTTTTGTTGTTTTTAATTTTAATGGATATGTATTAGTTTGTATAGTCGTCCTTCCGCCATTAGACACCCAGTGGACGAATGCGAATTTGAACTTGAGCACGCCGCTTGCAGCAGAGCGCAGCAGCAGCCCTCACTTTAACCTCAAACAGATTTTTTTTTGTATTTTTGGAACATTTCGTTCTATTTTTTGAATTTTAGCATACTCTCAAATGGGTTGTAGATTTTGTTATTCTTGAGTGATGTTTCGTGCTACTATGCTCGTTTCTCAATTCTGATTTCAAGTTAGCAAATCAGAACCGAAGAAGCGAGCATAGTAGCACGAAACATCGCTAAGCAACAACAACTTCATCTATTCTGATTACAAACATCATTAAAACAAAAAAATCACCAAATTCACGAAGAAACACAAAAGAATATTGCATGAGCTTGAACCGAGTTTGACGATGCTGCGCTCTGCCGCAATCGGCCTGCTCTAGTTCAAATTCGAACTCGGCCACTAGGTGTCTAGTGGAGGGGAGGGCAACGTACCATGTTCACAGCTTGTTACGCGGAAAAGGTCTCACTGAGGAGTTGCTAGTAAGGGTGACGCTTTTTGGCATGTATAGTGTGCAGACTCACGTATTGAGTTAGGAATGACTCGAGCATAACATTAGATCAGACAAGTGCTACAAATTAACGGATATTATGGATGCCAATAGAAGGTTGCTATTGCGGCCATCGACGCAATACCCCGCTTAATAGGGGTGGCAGTAGTGGATTCAAAGGACATGCGAGGTGTGGGGCGACCTTGGCTTGTGTCCGCACGCCGCTTCGGTGACCAGGTGACATAACAACACGTCCGTCCGCACAACAGCGCTGACACGGGAAATTGCGCGCACGGATTTGATTCATGGCATGATAGTGATCTCTTCGGATATCAGACTCCCTTTATCCAATTACACTGGCTCGTTTATCTGAGTCATTTGCATGCTTGCATAAGGGCAGTGTCCAGGCATCTGACTGCTTGGGCTTCTTGCGTGGACAGTAATTAGGAAGTTTTATCTAAACGACTGCTCATGCGCTAAGTCGTAGTTCACCGCTGTCAACAAATCCAGCCCAAATTCCAGTCCAGACGGTAATCTTTCGGTGCGCAAAAATCAAGATCCTTGAGATGGTAGTGAGTACGGTCTGGCCAGTTTGGAAGAAGTTTGAAAGTGAACGCCTGACCACATATCGGATCGCACGGACTGCTCAAAGGCTGCGGATTACGCATGGCGCGGCTGAAATGTTGCGAGAGCACGACTTGTACAATGGCGAATTTGTATTGGGGCAAGCGTTTCACCTCGCGGCGCTGCTCCGCAGTGATGTCCAGTCCGGGCGGTCAACGAATTTACTACAGATCGCATGAGCTACTTTTGATAATTTAGCCGAAGCCTCCCAGTCAACTATACCTTGAAAATCCCCAGCAACCAAAATTCTTTTGACATTCTCCACAGTCTATTCCGATCCTACAGGCCTAAATCTCCATGATGGGAAACCGTGTCGCGAGGGTTTTGTTTCACGTCTGCAGCTAGGTTGTCTGCTCTATCTTCAAGCTCTTCTCTCTTTTCGACAGTGCGCATAAGCAACCCAAATCCCTAGCACTGCAAGCGCGCAGATTTACGTCAGCGGTCAGGCCCGATCCCAGTCGGGACAGAATGTACATTTCAGTAGGCACAAGTGGTGCCATTTTTGGAGTACCTCTCTAGGTATCTTGAAGAAAGGTTAAAAAAAACCTTCATCTCTCGTATTCATTTTAAGCAGTGCATTTT